CAAACGTTCACTAGCAAAAATGTCGAGCGTAGACCTATTTGGAGCTGCTATTTTCACCTACGAATTCTGTCAAGTTATAGTCCGCCTTGTGGCATAACGAATTCATGTTGGATTTATGGACATCTAAACAGCTTCTATTGTGTTGATATGGTTTCTTTTACCTGCAGGTTGGCGCTGCTGTCATCGTCTGCACAGGTGAGGCGCATAGTATACCGAATGTGTAGAGAAACATATTTATTGGAAACAGGTGTCTATCTGTCTGTCTGTCTATCTGTCTGTCTGCCTGTCGATCTGTCTGTCTGCCTGTTTGTCTGTCTGTATGTCTGTCTGTCTGTCTGTCTGTCTGTCTGTCTGTATGTATGTATGTATGTTTGTTTGTCTGACTGTCTGTCTGTCTGTCTGTCTGTCTGTCTGTCTGTCTGTCTGTCTGTCTCTCTGTCTGTCTGTCCGTCCGTCCGCCTGTCTGCCTGTCTTCCCGTCTCTCTCTCTCTCTCTCTCTCTCTCTCTCTCTCTCTCTCTCTCTCTCTCTCTCTCTCTCTCTCCCCTCTCTCTCTCGCTCTCTCTCTCTCTTTCTCTGTCTGGCAGTAAGTCGGCCTGCCATAATTATGTATAATTACATGAGCGTATTAGTATTAAGAAGGCCTTCTTAATACGCTCATGATAATTATACTAGTGTCTGTTTTTTTTGCAGCTGCTAAGCAAACAGATGTATGTGAGGATAAGATGGGGGTTCTGATATGTGGAGGCGGTCAGACCATTCGTGTCAGGGATGCCTGGTACGGTTCCACAAGAAATAGCAACTGCAGAGGCGACACTGCTAGGTGCAAGTAAGTATAACGTGCAGTATTGATTGTTGATTTACGAAAAATCTAATATATCTATATATCACAAATATGCAATGTATGTTCGCACATGTCTGTGCCATAACTGCATTTTGATAGTAGTGCTTTTGAGTATAGCAAACCTTTATCAGAGTTTAGCACACACACAAAATGCAATTGTCATTTAAACCCGCATTGGTATAATCTCCATATGACAGCACCCTAGAGAAAGCTAATAAAAGCATCATACGGGACCTGAAGGACCGCTGCAACAGGAAGTCAATGTGTACCATGAGACCAGGCAACGACTTGTGGGGCAGTGACCCCTGTCCAGGAACCCGCAAACTTCTACGCGTAGATTACGATTGCAGTAAGTAATTACAAAAATTATAATTATTATAATTATGAGTGTTATTATTATTATTACACCATTATTATAATTACAGAAACTGCCTAGATTGTTGATGAGCCATGATGCAATAAATGATAAAATAATAACTAAATAATTATGTGTAATATTTTATGTATA